AATATCTCAGCAAAACCCATACTATTAAAAAAACATCTGGAATGAAGATAAGCAGGGAAAGAATAACGTTTGAGAATGATCACACCTGGCTGATGCCTGCTGTACATTGATGGATTTATTGTGGAGATGGGGGCACCCAAGTATGTGCCCGAAGTAAAAAAAAAAAAGGGAAGGACCCTTTTCCACGCCTTTAGGCATATAGGGCTAGACCTATATTTTTCTAGACCAATCAGCACAAGATGAGTGATGTGGTCAGCATCACGTCAGCCGCCTTTACTTCCCAGGACTGCACCATTCAACTCTGGGTCGACCTGGGAGCCAATGTCATTTTTGAAAATAGTCCTGCTCCGCCAGGGAACGAACCCATGACCTTCCGATCCGCAGTGAGCATCTAGCCGCTCAGCCACAGCGACTCCCTGTGCCCAGAGTGCAATGAAGGAAATCTGAACTTGACTAAAAATGAAGTGAGATAAGTGCTATCAATGTATAATAATAGTTTTAAGCATTATCTGTTGTTGGGTCGGTGTATGTGTGTGTGACAGATTGAGCAAATGGCTGGAATCTGTCATCTCATCTGCATGAGCAATCGGCAGTTAAGCAGTCTAAAACAGAACTAGGGAGAATGTGTTGACATTTTGTAAACAGGTATTTATATAAATAATATGGCACTTTTTCCATTTTGCTAAGTAAATTAACTTTATTAGTAAAATACAAATAGAATATTTGTAATTATGGACGCAAGCTACATATTCAACATAAACAAATAATAGTGTTTTTACAAATTGATTATTCAGTTTTCAACAGTAAAAATTGTAGATTTAAATGTTAACACAGGCGGTAACAGTTTTAAAGTTGAATTTCTATATCAATATAGGTTGAGGTTAAAGGTGAGAGGATCGACTTCGCTGCTCCAGGTTTTATCCTATAGGGCTCCGTCTCTCTCAGCGCCACAAAGCATAAACTCTATAGCTCCAGCGATGGTCTCCAGATTTCTCCGTAAAAAATCAGTGATAATATGTTGAGCACATCACCCACCAAGCGCCAATTGGTCTTTAAAATATATGTCTAGTCCTATATGCCCAATACGCCTGAAGGGGTGGAAAAGGGTCCTTAACTTCACTTTATTAGGGTCTGTTCATCATTGAAGCTATTTACACTTGTGCTTTTCTCATTGTTCTTTTTGCCTTCATGAATATCTGCTGTTGAAACTCTTGAGGTTTAAAGAGTTGAGAAGAAAATCAAGGCACTTGAAATTAAATGATAAAGAAAGATTATTGGAGTAGTGTGGATTATCATCAACATCATCATTGTCAAGTACCTTGCCATCTGGCGTGGGCAATCATATCTCTCTACAACATGTGATCACACACAGCATATATGAGTTCAAGTGCTGACACCCCACCATGTCCACGACAAAAAGCTGTCAAGAATATTCTCATGTTGACTTCCTCTGTCTCTGTTGTGGATAAATTTAAAAAAAAAAAAAAATGTACATAATATGATCACTGAAGAAAACGGACTCAACAGTAACATGTCTTGGAAACAAACTCAACAGTAACATGTCTTGGAAACAAACTCAGCAGTAACATGTCTTGGAAACGGAACTACTTTGGTCACATCAAACCTTACTATCATTTAAACAGGGTGTCGAGGAGGGAGATGGAGCTAATATGGGCTTGTCTTGAATGCTGTGTTGTCAAAACTGTACCCAGGTAACAGAACAGTTACGAAAGTCACAGTTCCTGGGGAGGGGAAAAAAAGTGGCAGGCGACGAACACCACAAAGGTTAACGCAGGATATTAAAGGCATCCTAGGGATGAGAATGCATTAGGCAGGGAAGCTGTTAAAAGAATCTCTAGGAGGCAGTAATGAAAGCCACTTTCTGCATAGAATGCTATTTGATGAAAAAGGTGTAATGTAAAGTTTCTAATGATATCTCAGGCAAATGTCATCTTAACAGAAATGACCGCAAATATTTACAAATTCAGAAGAATGATTGAAATCTGAAATTTTTTTTATTGTTTTCAGGCAATCTTTAATGTAAATGAATAACACTTAGCACTGCCATTTTTTAAAGAAAAATTGAACAGAAATTCAAAGGACAAAATATAAATAAAATTAACAATAAATTATCACAGGCACACATGTCTGGCAACCACTGTAGAATCTCTGTATGGTTCACCTGTCTCTGTAAGGTCACCAGTGTCTCTAAGGTCAATGTCCATGTAAAGTAGTAACCTCTGAGGTCACCACTGTCTCTGTAAAATCGTAATCTCTGTAAGGTCATCAGCATCTTTATATGGTCACCATTGTCTCTGCAAGGTCATCAGTATCTTTGTAAGGTCACCATTGTCTCTGCAAGGTCATCAGTATCTTTGTAAGATCACCATTGTCTCTGCAAGGTCATCAGTGTCTCTGTAAGATCACCAGCATTTCTGTAAGATCACCAGCATTTCTGTAAGATCACCAGCATTTCTGTTGACTAAGTTCTCTTTATGGTTCACCAGTGTTTCTGTATGGTCATCATACCAGTCTCTGCAAGGTCACCAGCATCTGGGTATGGTGAGTAAGGTCTTTATATGGTTCACTGGTGTCACTGCAAGGTCACCATTGTCTCTGCAAGATCAAAAGCATCTCCGTATGGTGACTAAGGTCTCTGTATGGTTCAACGGTATCTCAGCACGGTCACCATTATCTCTCTAAGATCACAAGCATCTCTGTGAGGTCACCAGTATCCTTGAATGATAAACATGGTCTCTGTAAGGCCACAATTGTTTCTTATTAGTTGCTAGGCCCCTGTGAGGTCACTAAAGTCTCTATGCAGTCACTGATATCCATGCAAGATTACCAGTCTGTCCAAAATCATGGTTCTGCAAAGTCACTAGTATGTAGCGTTACTAATATTTGTATACAGAATATAAAAACTAACTAGAATTTATTAGCAAGACAACAGTTTTGTCGCTTGTTTAAAATTTGATAACAAAAATACTACTCAAAACACCCTATAATGAAATGTTACATATATTTTAATTTCTATGTAACATTTGTCATTATATACAAATTACTATAAAAAATGGAAAAAGTATAACAAATGAAATGAAATAAAATAGTTACTGATTACTTATCATGTAGTTGAATGCAAAGCATTCACAGCAGACAACTACTTTACAAGCTGTTCTAATGGTCAATTGAGACAAAACTGTCTACCTCAAGCAGTTCAGTGTTGAACAACAACTACGAGTATAAGTACACTTAACCTGATTTTCTTTGTTTTCTTCATCTGTCCCATTTTTGTTTTTGTTTTGGACGCATTTGTTTTGTGCCTGTTTACAGCAGAACAGTGATATTTGTGACTTTTGGCTAAAACATCTTTCTTCAGGCATTCTTCTTCTGGGTTTCCATCACGGTTGGAAGTTTTCAATTTTACGCAGGTCATAAAGTAATCAAAATAATACTACAACATAAAGGGAAGGAGGAGAAGAGTTGGAAAAAAAACAATGCCCCTTAAATACAGAATTTGGCTGAATGGACAGGCCCCAAATCATGAAAACATAAAAGTCCATTGCATCTGACTGATATAGGTGGAGAGAACTCATCAGCAGTCAACAGCAGCTGGTGACCCATTAACAGTGTTATGGGACTATGAAATATTCATCGGTTACTGAGTCTGTTCGTGTTCAGAATACATATCATATAACAGATCTATTGCAGAACTTTGCTCCAATTGCATTCCACGGATAAACTTCAGGTCTTGCTAATTCCTCATACAAGCTAGATGTTGTAAGGGCCTTCTGGGAGCAAGTCAACAGTGCCGCGGTACAGGTAGATCATGATGGTCTAAATAGAACGGTGCAGCAAGGAGTGCCCAGGAGACCTGGCAGATGCTCAACACTCAGGATGGACGTGAGAGGGACATACATTCAGATGTTTACTGGTACCATCTGAAGTGGACTCTGTGCTTGCTGCTGAAGAGAGGGACATTATACTTATGTCCCAAGCGCTATGATGTCGTTTCTTAACTCATAACTCTGCCCCATGCGTAGAAGTCATCTCTAGTGTCCACCTTTGTGCTGACTGACTTCTCCCACTTCCTCCAAGAATAAAGTCTGACATTACTATTCTGCTGCATTCTTTTTCATCTGCAGTCATCCTTGAAGGTGACTGACATGTTGTGTTTTAGTTTACTGCTAGGCTGTAACATCTGCACCTTTTGACCCAGCATGTTCAATTTCAGCCAAACATGTAATTAGACTTTATGACATGCTTGTTAAAAAGGGCAGCTGTCAAAGACCCCCCCCCCCCCCCCCGAGTCTTAGTATCTAATAGTTTTGTTCTGTTACACTTAGTTCAAATGCCCAGATTTTCATCTTCAGTGATGCTATAGTGCCCATGACTGACACCCAGAGGCTTTACAAAATTTTTAAATGAGAAATACCTACCCAAGAGAGCCGTAGTGGTGTTGCAGATAGACAGACACAAATATAAATAGACACATATATATAAACAGTGCAAAGAGGATAATGATGGTATTTCAATTCAAATTCAGTCAGATACTTTCCTTAATAAGACTCAATGCTTTTGATATCTAGGGAGTAAAAGTTCAGGATTATTCTCATATGGACAATGGCTTTGGATTCATATCTACCATTAAGAAGGAAACAAAATCAACTTAACATGTCTGAGATTTTGCCAAATGCCTGAGCTGCGCCAAGTTTGTGTAGTATATACTCTTAAATAAATCCCTCATTCTAATAAAGGTTCATCATCTAGTTCAGTACAAACAATGTTTTTTTTAGTTATTGCCACAAAGTGGTTGCTAACTGAGCAAGATTCTCAAATGTTGTTCAAACCAAAATTTGTTTAGCTTTGATAAATAAACAAATTTGTCAGCTAAAAGACGCTGCTAGTTGGGGATGACAAATCTCTTATTCAAATTTTCTTGACAAAATTCCTTCTTTCAGTCTTCGTCCTTTTTGGTAAGCTAGAGTCTTATGAAGGCACTACCGTCTCCTCATGGACTGTTTACGTAAGAGCTCCCTCTGAACTTTCTGCAATAAAATAAAAGAGCCAAGATCAAAATCAAAATCAAAGAATAATGAAGGGAACTGTAAAATTAGAATAAAGGGAACTGTAAAATTAGAATGAAGGGAACTGTAAAATTAGAATGAAGGGAATTGTTAAATTAGAATGAAGGGAACTGTAAAATTAGAATAAAGGGAACTGTAAAATTAGAATAAAGGGAACTGTAAAATTAGAATGAAGGGAACTGTAAAATTAGAATAAAGGGAACTGTAAAATTAGAATGAAGGGAATTGTTAAATTAGAATGAAGGGAATTGTAAAATTAGAATGAAGGGAACTGTAAAATTAAAATAAAGGGAACTGTAAAATTAAAAGAAAACTGCAATCAACGCCTGGAGGAAAATAAAAACAATAAGTATTGATTATATTATTGAAGTATTTATTGACTACAGACTGTTTGTTGTCTGTGAATTGTCAAATATATCAGCACTGAGTCAGATTTAAAAAAAAAAAAACAACAACACCCTGGCTTCGAGGTCAAACCCAATCTAAAATGGGTACCATGAAAAAGTCCCGGGGGGTACAGGCAGCTGGTGCAATCTTGACCACATCACCCATCAAGTGCCAGTTGGCCTATAAAAATATGAGTTTAACATCCAATGCCCAATGAGGCAATGGTGTGGAAATGGGTCCTTGCCATATTCTTCTTCTTCTTTGTGTTCATTGGCCATAAACTTTGGCGGAAAGTTCTGGTTGTACATCCACCTCTGGAACTTTAGATTTGTTCCAGAACCTGAGTGTTGTATGCATATCCATTTTACAAATCTGACTAATCTGTATGCAGACTGTTTGTTTCTTGCCTTTCAGGTAGATGCTGACTTCAAAGGAAACCCCCAACTAGTCGACTCTTATGACATGCTTTTTGATAAGGCAGTGGAACTATTCTTGTTTTCCCCACAATGGGGGCCTGGAACCCCCAGGGGGACTGCATTATTTATGACCCACATCCAAACATGCATGCTTTAGGAAACTGCTAGCATTTTATTGCGGGTTTTGTGCCATTTGCATGTCTAGAAATTGGCTATTCAGGTTTTCTAGAGATTGAAATAGTTCCATACAAACTGACAAACTGTCAGCATTAAGGATACCACAATCAATAAGTTAGAGCTACCAAGGTGTAGCAGCTAGATGCTTGCCTATGGATCGGAAGGTCGTAGGCTAAGGTCCTGACAAAGCCAGATAAAATATAAAAAAAATAAAAAAACTTGGCTCCCAAGTTGACCCAGCCTTGAGTGGGTACGAGGTACAGTCTTGGGAAGTAAGGGCAGCCGGCGTGATGTTGACCATATCACCCACAGAGTGCTGATTGGCCTGTAAAATATAGGTGTAGCCCTATATGCCCAAAAAGCCTGAAGACGTGGAAAAGGGTCCTTTTACACCAATAAGTTCTTACTAATGATCATGGTCCCTCTGATGAGAAATAACAAACACATCACAGGAATAACATTTTAAATAACACAGAAGCAAATTTGTTAGTAAAAGTGATATTTTTGTATATTACAGTGCTTTACCCTATTAAAGATGTCTGCTCGCAGTCTGTTAAGCTGACACTGTTCCATCTTCTTAACTGATTCTTGTTTCTGCAACACTTCAGGCAACTTCTTATAACGTCTATTAGAGAGAAAGTTATAAATATATATATATATATATATATATTTTATCATGCATATACACATATTCTGTTTCTGCTAAATAAATGAATTCCTTAGAAATTACTGGAGCCACCAGGCTCTTCTTCTTACAGTCCATGACACAACTTCTGCCTCATGTACTTTCAATCAATTCTGACACACATGATTTTTAATGTCATGTCAGAAGAAGAAACTTCTCTGCCTATTTTCTTTTCCAACTTTCCCACCATCACGATGAGGTTCCCCCCTCATGGCATGACCAAAGAATGTAGATTATCTCCTTCTGATGTAGACAATCAGTTCTCTTAGTGATTTAGTTTCCTTAATGTTTAAAAAAAAAAATAAGTCCAGGGTTTTCTCATCATTTTTCTATAAAACCATGTCACCGCTTCCAAATAATTTGTCACTAATTGTCCCACTGTTCATGATTCACTTCTGTATATCCGAATAGGATTTTTATAGCTCTTCAGAATTCATTTTCTAGTCTCAATTAACAAAGAAAGATTTCATAGTACCTGGTTCAACAAAACCTAACTACGTTCTTTTCTTTACCTAACTCATATCGTTAGAAAAAAGATCAAGTGACTAGAGGACCCTTTTCACGACTTTAGTGCTTTGGGCATATAGTGCTATACCCATATTTTTAAAGACCAACACTTGTTGGATCATGTCCTCAACATCACACCGGCCATCTTTACTTCCCACGACCTCACATGATATCCACTTTAGGCTGGACTGATTAATGAGCCAAAGCCCACCTTGATGCAGTTCTGAATCCTAGATCCCAAGCCAGCAGGTATCTAGCTGCTAAACTACCACTGCTGTAAATGACTGTAACTGGAAAGATTTATGGAAACAGTGATGGACAAAGGCAGCAAGAGAAAATCTTAACAGCCTCCTATCTTCTTTACTTCACTGTGATTCTCTAACTTTCTTATTTTGAGAATAATTGTCATTTTGGCTGATAAAGTTTATCTGAAATAATATTGAACATAAATTTGTCAATTTATGGGAAAAACAGAGAAAGAAAATCTCAGCCAGCCATCATGACATGAACAAACTGAACCTGAATTGATTCTGTTCGAGACTTTAAATGTGGAGAAACATGACTGCATTTCAGCTGGCAGAGCACTTGATGATCATAACCTCTTCTTACTATATATCAAAATCCCAAAATTTAATGCTGATATGAGACTTAATTTTGCACAGTATCCATGCTGAGTTAAGCAAAGAACTGACATAGCATCAGGGTTGTTCCTATAAGTGCCCTGTCCCTATCTTCAGCAGCCAGCACTGAGCTCCAGTTCTAATGGTACCACTAGCAGTCCGATTGAATGTTAATGCAAAATATCTCCAACGCTTAAGCCAATCCTGGATATTTGATTACTTCATTACTGATTTGCTTCAGATATCTCAAATTAAATATGAATATTCAAGATGAAAAAAAAATAAAGTCAATATACTTACTTCATTGTGATCTCCTTCATTTCCTGTTTTGAGAAAAATCGTCTTTTTGGCTGATAAAGGTTATCTGAAAAAACACCAAACACATATTTGAACAACAGAGTACATGAAAATTACATGTATTCTACACACAAATTAGTTTAGAGGAAAGTTATTTGGAACAATTCACTTGCCAATATCTCAAATCTGCACATTCTTTCGATCAAATATTAGATTTAAGAAGATTTATGTATATTTTCCAACAGTAGTGGAATCGTGGGTAACTGCAGTCAAACTAAAACAAAGAAATTAATCCAATAAACCGTGATTAAAATGCCCAAGGAAAAGGGAAAGTGGTACAAAGTGCTCATTGTTCCTCTTTCATTAAGATTTTTAGTTACAGTTTTTTTGGATTAATTTTCCTAACAGAAGTGTGTTTGTCTATAACTCATGTTGCGGTATGTTAATTTCCAACATATGTTTTTCTGATATTTGAAACTCAAGGAGCAGTTTCCACTTTTAATTATCTATCAAAATGCAGGATGTTTTAATTTGACTGTGGCTTATAGTGTCATATCTTGTAACACCAAAAACACAATACTTAACACACTAATAAGGCCAATTGTTTTATATGGTGTTTAACCTGGAACACAACTAAAAGAGACCAAGCTTATGTACACATATTTTTTAGAACAATCTCATGATGAATCTTTGGAGCCATCAAAGATACAAACAGTGGAGAATGAAGAGTAAGAAGCAACGAAAAAATGTATAATCTGTTTAAATCACCGCTAATTAATGGCATCATGAGAGCTAATAGACAGCAATGGTCGGGGAATATAGGGAAAAATGGCAGATAACAGAGAGACAAAAAATGAGAATGCAAAAAGAGTTAAATGGGAGTAGACCATGAGACAAACCAAGAAAACAGTGGAGAGATAATATACACACATACCTTCAAATACTTGGATAAGGCCAATCACAGGGATAAATGGAGGCAGACGATGTCTGCAGCAGTGAAACTCAAGGGCTCAGAAAGTTGAAGAAAAAGAAGTGGCTAATGGTAGTTCTTCAGATATTTGGCCTGACAAAGACAAACTATGATGCTTCAATCCTCATTGAGATCTGATATTTTGATGAGGTTGTGCACTTATTTAAAATGTCCAGCTGTTTGAGCTTACAACATTCAACCCTCTGTTTTCTCTCTTGGTTAATCTGTTCCTTACATAAGGTTAGCCGTACATTATGTTGCGGTTTATAGCTAGGCTGTGACTTGTGGCCTAAACATCCAATTTCAGCAAATTCTTGATCAGTTGTCTTTTAAGACATGCTTCTTAAGGGGTAGTCAGTCTACTCAACCCACAATAGGACCCCGGAAGCCACACGGTAAATTTATGAAGCTACATAGTTAAATTCAGGAACATTCAGAGACCAGACTCACCACTGTAAGGATGTGCATTTATGTTTGCTGCTGCCATTTGTTGCAGGTCCATAAACAAAGCTTCTCTTTCCAGCCTTAGACACTCTTGTAGCTTTCTATGTTCCCTGGCTAAGGCAAGTCTCTTTTGGCGTTCTTTACATTTCGAAATGAAGCTTTGTTTCCGGGCTAACAAAGCCTCCTGAATGAAGACAGTTAAGAGCAATTACAACCATGTATTGTGTAACCATTTAGAAAACGTGGTAGCATAGTGGGAAGATATTTGCCGGTCAACTTGAAGGTCTTGGTTTTGAATCTGCACTAAAAAGAGATTCCAGGTTTGGACAGCTAGCATTCCGATGGAAACCAGGCTGTATGGAACAGTGTATGACATGCGTTACACCACAGACTTCAGAAAGGTCTGTGGCCTTCTCATCTAAAAACCACTGAATTGGACTACGAACAGAAAAAGAAGAAGAATCTGCACTCAATGAGTGATCAACACCATACCGACAGTCCCTATTTCCCAGTGATACTGTCATCACAAGGCAGATGTGGTCAAGGGCCTTTGGGAACAAGCAACGAAATCAGTAACGATAGAAGATTATTATGGTCTGGAGAGAATGAGGCATCTGGGTGTAACCTGAGGGTCAGGCCGGCTCACTAAACTCAGAGAAAAGGCAAGGCGGACATATAACCAGATTGTGACCGGTACCATCAGTATTTGAACTCTGCGCTGGCTGCTGAGGATGAGCATGGAACATGCATGGGAATGCCCTGAGTGCTGTGATGTCAATTCTGGACTCAACTCAACTTCCTATTTCCCAGGACATTATCTGGCACCTATTTTAGGCTGATTCAACCTAGGAGCCAAGGTCGGTTTTAAAAAGAATCAGTTTTATTGCAGATTCAAACTCAAGACTTTCGGGCCACCAGATGAGCATCTAGACGCAATGCTACCACAGCTTCCCATAACATATGCAGCAAAAATTTTTTTTTTTCAACTAATGGTATTTGGCCTTATTGTAGAACTAGAGTTTTGCGTGTACATCCAGTTTTAGAGATCTTGCTTATTTGTATGCAGACTACTGGTTGTTTACCTCTCAGGCAGATGAATTCCAACTTTGAAGGAAACAATTCTAAATACTCACGTTGTACAACAAGCTTGTCAGGGGGCAGGCAGTAGGTCTTTACTTGTTTCCATTCACTATGAGGCACTGGAATCTACACAGGGAATATCATCTAGCAATAGCTGGGTTCATCATTCCACTGACAATTCTTTGCTACAGAAGATATCTCACTTCACTATTCTTCTTCTACTTCTGTCTTTCATCTCAAAATTAGGCATTAAAAAATCATACCAAGCCTTTTGTAGGCTTTTTTTCTTATTGATCTGACTGTCGCAGCCACATTTTCCCAGTGGGATGACATAGCCAGTCTCATGCTTTCTTTTGTCATCTCTTATGACAGACCTTGTAGCATTGTCTTGCAATCTGTCAGTATTCTTGTTAAGGATGTCAAGAATGTTAAACACATGACATCATGGTGCAGACAAACATGGGTACCTTGATGTCATGTGCACAACATATGCCACTGTAAACTATCAGTGGTGTTGTAAAAGATGTCACGAGTGTTATGCACACAGCATTAAAGTAAAAACGTTCATCTGTTCTTTGACATCAGATGCTTAACACTCTTGAAATCCTTAACATCAGTACAGACAGGCTGCAAGACAATGGCATAGTCATTGCAATTTGTATCACACTTTAATGTTTTCATGTGAAGTCACCTTGCACATATATTTTGCCATGGGCTGTGATTACCATGCCTTCTTGTATACCTCATATAACACTGTCATCTGGAAGCAAACATTTATATTTCATACTTCTTAACTCTTTCAGTCCCAAGGAATGCATTATGTGTTCCTATCTAGAAGATGCACTGATTTTATGTCTTTTTTTGACTATCCCTTGGGACACTAATGCTAAACCACCAGAGACTGAAAGCGTTAACTACAAAATCAATCCTCAATAGTACCGCTGCTATCAAGTTTGGCACCATTAACAACAACAAACCAGCAGATAAATAGCAGTTAACAGATACAAGTAAGTACCTGAAGGGACAGTTTTGACAACGGCTTGCCATTCAAAGTTCTTTTCTCATCCTCTGTGCTGCTGTTCCCTGAATGTTTGCTGAGAATAAACTCAACTCTGTCCATCAAAGGGTCAACATCTCTGTGGTTTACTTTGGTGGCAAGTGGATCCTTTAAACAAGAAACAAGGTCAAACTTTAAACAAATTAACTCCAACATGGACACACACGCTTCCCCCCTATGCTCTAGGGGTATATACTTAACATTAAACCTAATGCTTGAACCTAGCTTCAAAGCTTCTCTGCAGACATGAAACTTCAACTCACAACATTGACCACTAGATACTAGCCTGTCACAAGGCCCAGACACACAGAATGCCAAACTTAGTTTTTCAGAGAATTCACAACCCACCAAACATGAGTTCCTCAATCTCCTTGTGTGGGTGAGCCCCATGTTTGGGGAGAAAAAAAAAGAACAGACCCAATGTTCCCTGACAAGCATTTTGTAAAAAACGATTAATTAGGGGTTTGTGATGCACAAGTCACTTCTAGTGCAGAATTCCAGTTGTCTCTGACCATTTGCATTCATGTGGCCAACATTATATTTTCCAAGACAAACTGGCCATGAGTTTGAGTCTGACCCTAAGTGAGCATTAAAATAACCAAGTATATAGATGCCGTCCGATTTAGAAATTGATTTCACTGCGCTATCAAGTTCCTCATAAAAAGAATCCTTTGCATCCTCTGTTGACGTTAGAGTGGGTGCATATGCAGTAACAAGGGTAATAAAACCGTTTGAGGTAGACAATTGTAGGGATAATATTCTGTCACGTCCTCTAGTTGGACATTCAACTGATCCTAACAGTGAATTCTTTACTGAAAATCCCACTCCATACATCCTGATTTCTTCCTGGCCTCTGCCTTTCCAGAAAAATGTATAATTATTTTCTCTTATAGACCCATCCTCTGGAAGACCGGTTTCCTGTAGGCCAGCAATTTCTATGTAAAGTTTGTTGAGTTCGGCGTCAATGATAGCCGCTTTTCTCACATCATTAATGTTTTCCAGGTCAGTGAAAAACCCTGGACACATGGTCCTCACATTCCAAGAGCCAAGTCGAAGCTTGGGGATATGTTTCTTCTTATTGCCTGGTGCAATGGTTTTACAGCCTGCAATTCGGATTTTGTCCTAGCTCCAAGCACCCACTGAAGCATACAAGCTGCGGCAGATCAACACCTTATTGGCTGGGGGCTGCCCAGCTTGGGGTGGGTGGTAGTTGATCAGTGACATTCAAAGATGTCTCCGACTGTCAGAGGCAACCCATGGCGCCCCTGTCTACGCCAACTGACAAGTACTTATAAGCCGTAACTGCTGCCTCTCAATTTGTTTCCAAGACCAATTAAGGCCAGGGATGAAGTTCCTCCTCTCCATAGCACAAAACCTGGACAGTACTGTAAAGACCATGTGTTGCCCATGCATAATGATCGACCTGCCTTGTTTACTCCAAAGGAAAGGTAAAACCAGTATGTTTGGAACGAGGCAGGTTGCAGAAGCTACCAGCAGTGCTCTATCTGTCCGCCTGTCAGAGCTTCCCTCCTAGACCAGCTGCCAGCCAAGGCTAAGGGCCTGATTGGCCCTGCCATAACACAAAGTTTTCAGGTTGCATTTCCTCTTCCTAGGATAAGGCTAGTATCCTCCCCAATTCGCTCCTCCGCCCAAAGTGGTTAGAACAATATGGGATGTTGGATTAGTATACACCGCCTAACAGAAGACAGGTGGTGCCAGCTACTGTTATACGGTAGCTCAGTCATATCTGACCAAGACCTGACTTTAAAAAAGAAGAAGCATCCATGCATTCAGATATTAACTAGGAGTGGTAGATACCACAAGGACTTATTTCAATCCACTGTGCCACAAGTTTAGGTAAACAAAAATTAATCACATCCTTTTTCTTTATTTAAAAGTATTGTTTTTAGACAAAAATAAAAAAGTGGCTCCTGAAATTGACAGATGCTTCATGTTTAAGATAAACATAATAATGACAAAACACTGCAACAAGTGTACCACTCTTTATTCAGACTATCACAGGGTATAAATTCATACTTAGTGACACACAAGTTTTATAGCATCCTGTGCCCACCTTTGTGCTGGTTGGCCCCTGGTACCATACTTTCTGCTATCGTTTTTCCAATGCGCTGTGGTGTTTGATAAGGCTAAAATATTACAGCTTTAGAGAGAAGATGCTGTTTATTAGCCAATCTTCCTTGAAGTTCAAATATTTTAGGATGTCAGTATTTATTTTCTTCTGTGCGTGGTATTCTGAGAATCTTTCTAAAGCATTTCAGCTCAAAGCCCCTATTTTCTACCTTAAAGATGGGAAAATAGTCAATGACTAACATTTATTATGTAGCATTCTCTCAAAAATGTGACTGATTTCCTTGCTGGTGTTTAACCATAGACTTTTAATGCACTCTTTATATAGTCTAAGTTAACTGAGTAACCTTTACAGGAAATTGCAGAATCAACTTCAGCATTTGCTGGCTATTTGGTTTATTAGGCAATTTTATATTTGGTATTTTACCATTGCTTTCTGAACGATACTCCTGCCTTAATCATCACAATGCGATCTGCTGCCAAATCGGGTACTTCAGAATTACTAAGTGCCTTTGCAATGCCTAAGCCACAGCCTAACACAACAAAATTTTTTACCTGGGTAAAAAAATGGGAAGACTTCAACAGGTAACCAAAAATACTCACATGTTCCCATAATTCATCAGATATGCCTTTAGGCTGGTCTGGTTTCTGCCAGTTTTTGTGACCCATTTTTTCTGTCATCTGCCATCCCTGAAGGGGTTCCACATCTTCGGATTGTAGTGACTGTTCCTTTGCTTTCTTGGAAAGGGTGTTGGTCACCAACTGTCGTTCCTGCAGTGGCATTCCTTTTCTTGCACTAGGCAGCTTGCATTTGTCCTGTGGTACATCTAGGGGAATGTGCCAAGCAATGCCTCCACTCACAGGCGATTCTGTAATGGAAACCAGAAAAAAAACTCATAATACAGTCTTTAATTTTATGACTTCAGTGTTTCCATACGGCAATGAAGATGTCTCAAAAGAAAGTGACTCATGAAGAGAACTGATTGCCCACATCGGAAAGTACATTCTTCGGTCATGTCATGAGAAATAAAAAACTGGAGTACATCATGACACTGGGATAGGAGGGGATGAAAGACGGAGACTAGAGAGAAGTTGCTGGGTTTGACATCATGGCATGGAAATTCATCTGTGTCAGAAGTGATTGAAAGTGCACGAGACAGAAGGTTGTGGATAGATATGACTACCAATGACTATAAAAAGTTTCCATACATTTTTTAATTTTTTGGGTTTTATCTTCAAACCACAATCATGGAGTATTTGCTGTTGGTGATAAAAACAACAACATTAATGGTAGAAGATGTGTGATGCTAGAAGCATGGTAGAAATGTAGCTAGATGCTCACCTGCTGGCCTGAACACCTCAGGTTGGAATCTGCATCAAATCAGATTTATCTCAAAATTGACCTTAGCTCCAGACCAGCCTAGCCTAAAACTGCTAGCAGAAAACATCCTGAGAATTTCCACCATTGCTGATGCCAAGCCCAGTTGAGACCAGAGGAGAGGTGGGCATGGGGCCAGGTCCCCACCCTGTAACAGTTTTTTTTTACTTTAGAAACTTGCAGAAAAGGATGCCATTCCAGTGAACATGAGAAACTCCAAAAGGGCTGGACTAGATTGCATCCATGCTATCAAATTGATTAAACAGGATAGAATAGAATGGAAAAATAGGCGGTGAGTCTTGTGTGACAAATAATGGCCCAAAAGCACCATAAAGATGAAGAATTTCCTAGAAAGTATTAACAAATGTTTTTAAGAATAAAAAAAAATAAAAAAATTACAGATAATTGTATTGAAAGGTAAATCTTTGTATCTGAATTATTAGTTTAATCCCTTCTATCCCACAGTGCCTCCACCAAACTCCTTTAAACCCACCTATGTATTTTTTTAGCTCAACTCTTTGAGATATAAGGAGTTAAAGAATGGAAAAGCTTTTATCTTATTTACAAATGTTAAATGTAAAAAAAACAGAAAAACTACAGCAAGCTAAATACTTAATGACCTAAAATATAACTAGTTAGCGTCGTCCCCATGTGGGATGCAATTTTTAGTTATTTTGAAGGCCCACCCTGGCTTTTGCCAGAATATAGCTGGGTCGTAAATATGGCCTAACAGCTGAACGAGGTTTCCGGGATCTCTCCTCAGGTGATCCTCATTCGCGTGGTGGCACTTTGTGTCACCGGGTGTTTATAGCTTGTGTGATGTCCTGGTGGGGTACAACTTACTTACCTAAACATAACTATCCTGTTATGTATTTTATATTGTCCTTATCAGTTATTTTCCTTATTATGATTCAAGTTTACTTACTCTGTCTTTGCATTGACTTCTGCTCAGATCTGTGAATCTTCTCATGTCTAACAGACCCTCGATGAGTGGATTTCTTGTTCTGCCGAAGTTTTGCATTGTTTTCTTTGTTTCTGGGTGAGGCTAGTGATCTGCTTGGGCTAACTCTCCGTTCGTAACTGGTGGGAGATTGCTGTCTATGAGGAGATGACCTTTTCTGATGCCTGACAGGTGAAAAGGTTAGCACAGTTGCTGATCGAGGTGGACTCTTGCCACGATACTTTATGCTCTCTGGTTGCGTAGACTTAGCAACGGATGGAGCAGAATGAGCTCTAGAACTGGTTCCCGGCTGAGCTTTCTGTGAGGTTTTTATTGGAGCGAACACAATTCTGTAATCTGGACCCAAATGACAAGGATCAGCTGCATCAGAAACATCTGTTGAATTCTGCAGACTGTCTTGCTCATACCAAGGCTCTGGATATGAAGCAGCCATATCATACATAGATTGTGGAGATTTTACCTTTGGTACATAATGGTTTTTGTGGGCATGATGATGGTCCGCTCGGACATAGGGAGAAAAAAGTCTGTGTAGTCTGCTGTTTTGTTTATAATAAATGTCATCAACTGTGCTTTTGTGATTTGCTTCACGTGATGTTTTTCCTTCGAAAGCCGCTTCTCTTTCAACTGCTATTCTGTAAGCTTCTTCTGCTGTCAAGATGCCTTCTGCAACCAACTTGAGGAGTTTACTTTCTGAACTAACAGGTTCCAGCTGTTCTCCATGTTGTATATTTCTAGCAAACAAACTGCTTTTGTACTTGCTTCCTTTGATGGAACTGTATTGGTTCTTTAGTTCGGTCTCTTTAGCTTGCATCATCTTCCTTCTCATCTCTTTATGCGTCTTCCATGAATGCATTTCAGTGCTGCTGTCTTTAGCTGTTGTACTGTCATCGGAAAGAGGAGTGGTGTTGTGGCTTTCAACTAGTTTACCCACACCCTCTTGGGACTCATCTGAGGCAGGGATGGATACTGAAGATATTTCTTCTAGCTGTCTCTTGAGAGTCTGATCACTGATCTCATTTCTTCTCTTGGCTGAAAGCAAATGTTCCAGCTTCTTCAGCTTTTCGATTTTCTGAATCTCCTTCAAAGTAGACTTGTCAATTATTTGCCTTTGATTTGAAATACGCTCTCTTAGCTTCTTCATATTGGGATCTATGACATGCGGTCGACGAGGAATGTTAGAACTTTGGGCACTCAATGCAGAATTGCATTTATTAGGTGTCTGATCGAAGCTTGCATCTTCTGCTATAGAAAACAGATTGTCCATACAGTTTTCTGCTTCTGTGTCTAAATTTGTTGATTTACCCTTCTTCTTTTTAGCAGCTCTCCTTTTCAATCTCTCCTCTTCTTTTTGAGAAATCATGGCTGCATATCTAACATTCATATCGTCTTCACTTGAACTCTGGCGAACATGACTTTCCAGCAGTTCTGCTCTCCGCTGTACCCTTTCAGCTTCTGCTCTCTCTTGTCTTTGTATCAAGTGTTCTTCACGTTCTTTAAGACACTGTGTGACTAAATGAGGTGACGGGTGAAGAATAAGATCAGTAACGGCTTCCAAACTTGAAGTGTTTAATGAAGTCTCCGAAGATTCATTGTTTGCCTTAAACTGCTCCCAGAGGGCATCAATATCTGGTTGAACACCTGGATCTTTATCTTGCGACAGTGCTTGAGTCAGCAGCTGTGTTCTCTGGCTGACAGGTTGGTGGTCAAATTCTGCATTATCACTTTCTGGGCTGGTTACCACTAGCCTATAAAAATGTAAAAACACACAATCGGTTTAGACACAAACAAAATTTCAAACTGCAGACATAACCCCCCCCCCCCCCCCTTTTCCCAAATATTTAATAAGAAAAATATGGTGAATTGGTAAGCTACCCTGGCTACTCATTATTGAAAACGGTTTATAAAAGAAAGTCGGTACAACTATACTGGACAAATTATAGCATTCAACATGCCCTGTAAAGATTGGAAAAAGAATTACCATAGCAAAAGCAGCTTTCTGGATGATAGAAAACACATCAATAAAAGAAGACAATTGTAGTGAGAAAAACAGTGCACAATTTCTATAAGAACCTGTACCGCCTGCATGTGAAACAATAAGCAGACAGGACGAAACATCTTTAACTGCAGTGGAGATGTACTTTCTGAGGAAAATCTAAAGAATAACAACATGGGCAGAAATATCAATGAGGCATATCTCCAAGAAACACATGGAAAGCTCAAGCAGTTTAGAAAAATTAGGTATATAAAAATTAAGTATATACTTCAAGAATTTTGGGCATGTTACAAGGTGAAATAAACTGGATGACTTAGTGACAAGTAACAGCCTTGAAGAAAAATGAAGAATAACTTAAGCAACACATTAGAAAGATTCTTACATCTTTAAGAACACTTAGATTAGGTACCTGGAGGAAGAATAAGAAGATGATGAAGAAGAAGAAGATGAAGATGAAAAAAAGATAAAGAAGATGATGACGATGAAGACAAAAAAAACCGAAGAAGATGATGAGGATGAAGAAGAAGAAAATAAAGATGAATTAAAAAAAAAAGTGAAAAGTAAGAAACTGGATGAGAAGAAATCAAGAAACTGATAGATATTTAAATACCAAGACAGTACAATCATATGGCATGAGCAAGACACAATCAGATCTCAGGGAAGATGGCAACCCATAACCATCTATACTTGATATAGCACATGATGATTCTGATTATCTGCTTACCCTGGTAACACATGGACAAGACAGTAACATTTATATTTCTGTAGTGTATTCTGCTATAATGGTCAAACAGAAAGTCAAAATTTAATCAACAGGAGACATTTTGAAGAATGGCTAAAGAACACAATGTTAATTTTTCTCCCCAACAGAAAAACACCTCATCAGCTTAATGAGGATTCAAACCCGGGTCTCCAGCATGAGAACCCAATGTTCTAATTATCCAGCCAACAAAGAACGGCAATGTGTGAAATACAATATCAGCGACATACCTGTCAGCTGGGTTCATGAACTGGGTAGGTTGTCGCAAGTCGTCCATGTTCCGTGATGTAAACATAGCTCTTGGCGCTGATGAATGTTCTTCAATATGTCTTGTAGGATGTGCCGGTGGTCTCAAACCAGGTGTGTAGGATCTTGGAACCTGGCCGCGCTCTCTGGCTAAAAATGTTGGTGGTGGAGACTGGGTTCGACGTACATTTGTCTGTTGGTGATCAGACCATTCCTGTGGGGACAGTCTCAAAGATCTTTCAGCAGGATGGCTGGAAACAGTACCTGTAGTCTTTCTCAAGTCTGAAGATAAAAGATGAGGGGAGTTTCTTGACTGATACTTATCTCTTCCACATGCAGACATATCTTCATCTGAATGAGACCGGTGAAGTGTTCTGTGAACCTCTTCATGATATCTGCGCTCAGGTAATGAGAGGGGATCCTGTCGAGAAAACTCTCTGTCAGCATCATTATATCTCTTTGTGAAATATCTTTCATCATTTTCAGAATGGAATCTTGATGGAGAATATGCAGAAACATCTGTGGTTGAGTACAGGATTCTTCCTCTGTTACGCACAACTTGGGGATTGGCATATTTCTGACTGTCAATTTCATCTCTATACTCATCATATGGTGTGTGACTTCTTAGTAACAAAGCTTGTGTGGTTCTATCTCTTTGTCTCAAAGTATCTGAATGATGAGAATGTAAAGACACATCAGTGTGTCTCTCATAAAAATTATTAACTCTTTGATTCTGTCTGCTCACAGGATGAAAGTCATCATATGATAAATTATTATTATTCTCTGAATTCTGCACTCCATTTCTGCTTTTGATTCTTGTCTGCAATTCATAAATGTCACGTTCTTGCTGATTCCTTGTGTTTGCCCATCTTCCATTAGATGCGCCACCTACAGTTACTGGAACTGGCTCGCTGCGTTGACTGCTATGTTCTCTTTCTGCAACAGAACGACTGTGCCTGTTGTTTGTTTTACTGACATTTTCATGCTGATTGCTGATATCGTTCTTCTTTGGACCAGAAGTGCGTTCCAGGTCAGCAAAACTAGATGATTCGTCGGGACTTTTCCCATGTGAATTGACACTCTCTACGGCAAAGTTGTCCTTACGTGATTGGCTGGTCTCAGATTCACGGTCATCCTGCTGGAGGAAACAAATCTAGCTTATTACCAAAACAAAACAAAGAAACCAGTCTGGTGTTGATCTGGCAACTTACATAGTACAGCGTGTTTCTAATTTATATATACAAGACATAGTGCTTTCATTTTTGTTCACCCCAAACAGACAGTCCAATATTTTAGGGTAGTGGTAGATAGGCTGCATGCAGTCATGGGACCTAGCCTGCACCTTCTGTGACGTAGGTGGGTTAGGGTTAAATCCAGTTCTAGGTGTTTTGGTAGTTAAAAACACCACAAAGCCGGGAAACCCGGTCTTACCACCCTATAAAATATTGGACTGTCTCTGTGACCTCATCTGTGGTGACTTATTACGAAAGAACCATACATAAATGTTGACAACAACAGTTTTGAAACTCATGCTATAATTGTGGAAGACTTTTCTTTACGTGGGTGGGTCTTGCTATCACACTCACTATCGCCACGGGCTGTGAGACCTATGCCTTCTCATAGCGCAATATAACACTATCTCTGGAAAGGTAGAAGGGTGTCAATCATATAAGACATGGTCGTCAACTTTCATCTATATTCTAGTGTAGTACAAGATATACTCAACTTTGTTTCATCTACACTCTAGGACTGCACACAATGACATTACTCTCTTCAATGTACACTTTAGCATATATTCCATTCACATTGTGGGTATATGGTGCTTAACCAACATTTGTATGGACCCACCTACGGATACTAAATGGGTGGCAGGGAAAACATCATGCCAGCCACCTTTACGTCCCAGGACATTCCCTGATTCCCATTTTAGGCTCAACCAACCTGGTAGCCAGAGTCAATGTTTAAAAAAGAAAATTATAAAAAATTAATCACCTGTGAAATGCGGCTTCAAACCCAAGGCCTTTGTGATGGAAGGCCAAGCATCTAGCTACTGAGCAAAAAAGTATCCCATTCTATGAGTGAACAAGATAAAACTCCCTTTCATTTACACTCAAGGGTAGAAGAAGTCTGACAAACAATGAACAAAATATTAAACAGGCTAAGTATGATTTCTCACCAGGCCAGATTTTTCTTGAATGGGGGGTAAAATGTCCCCATGTTGCTTTAATATTGGCTGTTTGTTACCGTAAATGCCAGGAGCATTAGGGGCATCTTGCCTACTTCCTAGAACACTAGGTGGCAGCACTGGACCTCTGGCATCATCTGAACCTGTAGCAGAATTGTACTTCATTAGATGAAATACACAAAAAATAAAAAAATTATTTATATATATATATATATATATATATATATATATATATATATATTTACATATAATTTTCAGAGCGGTGGTCCTAGAGGGGCACAAGGAGGTTTCAAGAGAAGCATCTTTGAAACTGAGTGCATTTCCATTTGTAATAATCCATTATATGAGTACTTACATTTTGTTTTAGTTCAATTAAACATAAACTATTTGTTAAAAATATTTATTGAAAAAAATGAGGACATTTCTGTCTTCATGAGCAGTTTGCGCATCCATCGTTACAAATATAATCTAATTAATATGATAACACACGCATTTAATTATAGATTTAGAACACATTTTGACCAAAATGTATCTCCATAATTTCTGTTTCACTTGTTGCCGAATCTACTGTCCTCTTTTTTAATCACATTTTGTTATTTGGGAAAAGGGAGCCGGCCGGCGTGGAGGTCTTGTCTCATACTCAGGGGAGGGAGGCATGGGAGGTCTTGCCATATTCTCAGAGGAGGGAGGCAAGGGAGGTCTGCCACATACTCAGAGGAGGGAGGCATTTGAGGTTTTGCCATATCCTCAGAGGAGGGAGGCATGGGAGGTCTTGCCACATACTTAGAGGAGGGAGGCATGGGAGATCTTGCCATATACTCAGAGGAGTGAGGCATGGGAGGTCTTGCCATATACTCAGAGGAGGGAGGCATAGGAGGTCTTGCCATATACTGGGAGGAGGGAGGCATGGGAGATCTTGCCATATACTCAGAGGGAGGCAAAGGAGGTTTTGCCATATACTCATGTGAGGCGCGATCTGAATAAGATAGGAGACCACTCTACTATACAATAAAAATGTTCTACGAATAACACATCCCCGCTGGAACCAAAATTTTATTGATATTAACAGTGTACATTTTAAGCGAGTTGATCTTACAGAGGTTTTACTGTAAAAAATAACTGAGGTCGCCAAGTAACTGCAGTTTCAACGTCACAGCAAACAGATCATCCCAATATAACTGAATATATCACTTCACCATAAATCAAGCTTTGCCGCTGCCTACAAACTGACCTTTCATAAAATATGGTGGTTTCTTCTTGACTTCCATGAAAACAGCCATAAGCTTATGTGAGCTATCACTAAACGAATACATAGAGCTCAAATGGGTTGAAAAGTGTGCCAGGTTATCCATACGGGCTAGTAATAAAACAATATAAATTAACAAAGTACCAAAGTGAGTGCTCTCCATGGTAGTTGCACTGTCAGCCACAGATGCCACATCACTTTCTGTGTAGTACACCTCTTTTGATCCTGCAGGCCTAGGGAATTTAAAAACAAAAACAACATCCAGCAAAGAAAAAAAACACAAAGAAAACATCTTTAAGAGAGGCCAGGCATGTGAACAAAAATCAAAGACAACCATAATAATTATTCCCACTTATGAATGGATTGGAAATAAAGTTTAAGAATTACATTAAAAAAATGTATAATAATTAATCATAACAATGAAGATTGGCAAGAATAAATTACCTAATTACCATCACATATAACTGACGTTCTCTCCATGTGTGGAGAAAACAAGAATAAATCTACTTGAATTAACCTCCTATCTCCCCAATAAGCATGTCATAGGAGTTGTCTAATTGGGGGGGGGGGGGGGGGGGGGGGGGCATCCTTTGCAATCAAAATGCATCTTCCTGAGAGGCAAGGAACCAAGAGTCTGCATACAAATAAGGCAGATCTGTGAGACTGATGTGTACTCAGCAATCAGGTTCTGGAACATGACTAAAGTCCTGAGGTGGACAAAGGCTCAGAACTTTCCACAGGAGTTTACAGCTAAGGAGTGTGAAGAAGAAGAAGACTGACCTTCATGTTAGAGCAGCCACTGCCAAGACATGCATAAATATGACTTAGAAAAAATGTTACAGAAAATATCTGAACATGCAACTTAAATGGTAAATAAGAGGTACAGAATGGATGTGCTTTTGGTAATCATCATCTTTTTTGCCCTGCTAATGAATGTGGCAACCATGGTTCCTCATCCCATACGTGTCATGTCTGTGTTCTTGTCTACCATCAAGCTGCTCTGTTTTTACTTCTTCTTTTCTGTGGCGTGTTCCGGGTGCCATGTTTGTGGGTTGGTAGTGGGGGGGGGGGGGGGGGGGGGGGGGAGGAGAGGAGAAAGAGGGATAGACCCACTTCTTCTTCTGCTTTTCTAACCCTCAATGGAGCACAGACCCTCAACCAGCTCATGCCAAGCTGTTCTATCCTTCGCTATCGCATGCAGTTCTCCACATATTTTTAATCTCACTATCTAGCTCCCTGTCCCATGTGTTTCGGTCTTCCTTTAACTCTATGCCCCTGTAGGTTCCTGTGCAAAGACATTCAAGTTATACTGTTTTCAAGTTTTCTCACAATGTGTCCTCCTATCCAATGCCAGCATCTTTTCTTCACCTCTTGGTCCACTGGAACTTGTTTAGTTTTCTTCCAAAGCTCTGCATTACCACTACATCTTAACAAACATATCGTAACATTATCTGCTGAAATGGGATGTGTTGGGCTAAAAGGCATAGATACTGAAGCCTAAATTAAAACCAGAACATAATGTGCCAACAGCTCTTTCAAGGGCAGAAGCAGAAGTAGAAGAAGCTTTCTGTTATTATTCCATGTCTGTCCTGTTTTACTAACTTGTTCACCATAGCCTCTCCACTTTGTGTTTGCATGTGCGTCAAGTTTATGGTGCTGGACCCATTAACAGATCAATCGGTTCTTAACGGATGATTTAATCAAAGGTCATACTGGCTGTCTTTGTTTCTCAAGACAATTCCATATTTAAGCTGTGTCAACATGAACACCTAGAACAACTGTACAAATCTGCAACGTGTGCATGTCATGTGCCCTGCCCTCATTGATCTAAACTCTTCTGGGCACGTATTGGACTTCACCTCCGGACTCAAAAACATTCAACTGCAGTTTCATGGGGGATGAAAGAAAGTGTGGTCCTTATCACTTGTGATTGACGAATAAACAGATGTGTATATTTATGTATGTAAGTGGATCTGTCTTAACTGAGAAATAAAAAGATTAAGGCAGCAAGAATCTCCAAAAGAAACTCTAAAGCGAACATTATTGAGGGAGGCCTAAGGCGCTGGACTGAATTCTATCCCTGATATCAAAATGACTGCACAGGATAAAATTAAATAAAAAAACAAGACTTCAAGCCCTATGTGACAAATATTGGCATAACAGGACAATGATGACTCAGCTATGAGATGGCTGAATAGAGTAACCAGGTAAGTTTAGTTTCACAATTAAATAAAAAAATAAAAAAAAAAGACAGCAACAGGAAAAGTGTAAAAAACAAAAGATCTAGGTAAACTCTCTAGGTAAGATCCGGGTAAAACTGTAAAACCATAACAAGATATTACCTATAAGGCCTATATTTTTCTCTTCGTCTGCCAGAACTAGAGTCTGAATCATCATGTGACCGGATCATGTTGCTGTTCTGTTCGCTCTTAGCTGTACGTTAAAGAGAAGTGGCAGAAATTCATAAATATATACGTTACTTATCACACAATGAAGCAGCCTAAATAATAACCACTGCTGCTGCTGGCACCTTTCTGTCTTATAATGTGTTACAGAGAAGCATAGGAATCACAACCAATGAAATCAGGAATGAAGAGTCTTCTCTCCACAGCACAAAGCCTATGCAGTATTATACAGACTGTGTGTTGTCCAAGCAGCATGTTCTCTTTATACAACTTGAGCATTCTAAAGGAAAGGTAACAATAAGTTTGGAATAAAGCATACTGCAGAAGCTGCTGGATCAGAACAGCAGTGATCTGTCTGTCCTCCTGTTGGAGCTTCCCTCCTAGACAAGCTGCCAACCAAGGTTAAGGGCCTATTTTGCTCTGCCATAACTATTATAGGTGTTAAGAAAGTGCAGTGGCTAGCATGTATATCTGCCAGCCTGGTGGTGATAGGTTTGAGGCTTGAGCCAAGATAACATTTGCATCAACAGTTCTCATGTTGCTTTGAGCTAACTGGCTTTTTCCAAAGCCAAGTTGACATCAGAGTTTTCCCGTAAGCCTCAGTGATAGAGGCTGTGTCATGAGTCACCTGATAGATGCTTGTTTTAAGCTTTAAGGGATATATTACATTTAATGCTTCACACTATTTTTGTTTACTGAATACTCCTTTCATATAGTTGAAGAACAAAAACAAAAAAAAAAAAAAAAAAAAGCTGTAGACAAACACGTTTAACAGATTTATTAGGAACCCGTGTAAAAAAAGAAAATTGTTCTAAACAATTTTTTTTTCTGGAATTCTAATTTGATCATCACTAATTTTTTTTAAAGTGATACCAATATGAAAGGGTAAGAATAAAAATAAGAAGATATCAGTGCTCAGAATCCATGAACTACATTTGAGTACTAGCACAGGCCTGTAAACAACAACACCCCCCACCCCACCCTAAAAAAAAAAAGCCAATCGATATACAACTGGTAGGTAAGCCACTACACACTGATGGATCTGTTAAGGCAAAAATTATAGATCTTGTGGTATTGTATGGATAATGACTATTTGAAATTATGTAGCTTAATTTTTACTATATTTACCCAAAGGAAGGCTTCTGGTGATCCACTCTGAACACACTGGCCACCTTGAGTATGCAGTCAAAAAAATATGTCCTACTTTTTTTCCCACTCCCATCTCTAACTTAATAACAATAATCTCTACTTACTTACTTATTTAAATTGCTATTCCTAACTTACCTGAATATGATCAAAAGCTACAGTTTTCGCAAACAAAACTATCAACAACAAACAAACTAACTGGCTCTAAAAGTACCTGCATAAATCTCAGCTGGACTGCTGGTGTGTTCTGATCTGTCACCTTCTGCACTCCTGAGAATTAAAAACATATATGAGCATCACCCTGCATTTACAACATTAAACAAAATATGAGCATCACCCTGCATTTACAACATTAAACAAAATATGAGCATTACCATGCATTTACAACATTAAACAAAATATGAGCATCACCATGCATATATAACATTAAACAAAATATGAGCATTACCATGCATTTACAACATTAAACAAAAAATGAGCATTACCATGCATTTACAACATTAAACAAAATATGAGCATCAACATGCATTTACAACATTAAACAAAATATGAGCATCACCATGCATTTACAACATTAAACAAAATATGAGCATCACCGTGCATTTACAACATTAAACACAATATGAGCATCACCATGCATATACAACATTAAACAAAATATGAGCAACAACATGCATATACAACATTGAACAAAATATGAGCATCACCATGCATATACAACATTAAACAAAATATGAGCATCACCGTGCATTTACAACATTAAACAAAATATGAGCATCACCATGCATATACAACATTAAACAAAATATGAGCATCACCATGCATATACAACATTGAACAAAATATGAGCATTACCATGCATATACAACATTAAACAAAATATGAGCATCATCATGCATATACAACATTAAACAAAATATGAGCATCACCATGCATATACAACATTGAACAAATTATGAGCATCATCATGCATATACAACATTAAACACAATATGAGCATCATCATGCATATACAACATTAAACAAAATATGAGCATTACCATGCATATACAACATTGAACAAAATATGAGCATTACCATGCATATACAACATTAAACAAAATATGAGCATCATCATGCATATACAACATTAAACAAAATATGAGCATTACCATGCATATACAACATTAAACAAAATATTAGCATCATTATGCATATACAAAATTTTAAAAATATGAGCATCACCATGAGTATACAACATATTAAAAAAAAACATGAGCATCACCATGCATATACTACATTTAAAAACAAAAACACAAAAATAATGGGGGATGTTTAGGTGGTACTGGCATTAGACAATCCTAACATGAAATATCTGACTTACAATGGAAGATATATGTGTATTTTATTTCTGTTCTGTTAAGCTTTAGTCCTTGTTTCTAATTACTGATTTAACAATTGTCATTATAGCATACAGGCATGCCCCATCTTCCACAGCAAATGTCTTAAGGTGTAGACGATGTTCCGATAGCACACCAATTCTTCTTCTTCTTCTTCGCGTTCACCAGCTGTAAACTCTGGTGTAAAGTTCTGGTTGTTCGTCCACTTCTGGACTGCAGTCCTGTTCCAGAACCTGAGTGTTGCGTGTGCATCAGTTTTACAGATCTGATTCAACTGAATGCAGACTGCTGGTTCCTTGCCTCTCAGGCAGATGCACTCCGACTTCAAAGGAAGCTCCCCAGTTAGTCGACTCTTACGACATGCTTTTGGAGAGGCAGTGGGTCTATTCTTGTTTTCCCCACAATAGGGCTCCGGAACCCACACGGGGGAGCACACCAATTAAAATAATACCCATATGGATAATACCATCGCCAGGAAAAGATAAACACTGCAACAGTACAAAACAGTTTCAGACTAATCATACATTCATAATACGACCACCATCCTCTCCACGGGGTTCCATTCTGGGGGAAAAAAGGAACAGACTCACTGACCCTAACAATCAGGTCATAAATGTTGACTAATCAGAAGTGTTTCTCTCTAAGTCGCAGTGCATCTGCCTGATAGGTAAGGAACCAAAAGTGTGCTTAAAAATAAGCCAAAATTCAAGTTTTGTGCAAGACTGAAGTCCAGAAGTGGATTAACAACCAGAACTTTCTGCTGGAGTTTACAGCTGGTGAACACAAAGAAGACAAAACTAATATCCTACACAGAATAAATGAAGATAGAACACACACACACACAAAACTATTATCCCCAAATGAACGCTCGTTAATGTGAACATGAACATTTCAGAGATAACACAGAGAACCAAAATTACTCACCAGTTTGGCCTATTTTCAGATGGGTGGTCTGATGCTTTTTCTATGTCTTCCTCAGGTTTTTCATCTCTTGCTTGCTGCTGTATCTTACTGTCAACAGTCAGGGGATAGCACTGTATGGTGCGATGAGGAACAACTGCCTCAAGACTGCTGTTGAAAGTTCTCTCTGATGCTTTCACCATTTGAGATGAAAGAAGTCTCGCCACATCGTCAAAGGCAAGAAAACCTTTCCTAGCTGGCACATAAACAGTAGATGAGTCTACGAGTCTGCTTACCTCTGTGGAACTCAGCCCTGACAGATCTAACCGCTTCCGTACATTGTCAGGTTTTGCAAGACTCTCAGCACTTTCGTTAAATTCTGATACTGCCACAGAGAAATTAAAATCTTTACGCTGGGGGTTAACAATCAATTGGGATCTCATTTGCCTCTCTTGTGCAGTCACTTCCAACAAAATCCCGCTGGCCTGAGACTGTGGGTCTTGACTAGCTAATATTCGGGACACCTTTTCAGCAAGACCTGGATTGTTCAACTGCTGGTAGCCTGACTCAATCTGCTGCCTTTGGTTTTCAAAGTTGCAAAGCATCTGGTCCACACTGCTATAGGAAGTCTGGTGGTTGGCCGCCTGTGGATGAAGAACTTGGGACATCTCAGCCAAGGTCCGGTCTGCTGCAGCATGGTCAATCACTCTGTCACTGCTATCAGATGTTCTTGTTTCATCACCATCTGAGTTGAATGATTTCTTGTCACTGGAAGGCCTGTGAGAATTGGTGGTGAAAGTTTCCAGAGAGATGTCCCCCATGAGGCCTCCAGGCTGCTGGTAGCCTAGATCTGCAGCATAATCCCAAGCCATCTGGTTCCTATGCCTGTCTGGTGTGACTGTGGTACTGGGAATTACATCACAGTCACTACTTGATGAAAAACAAGTTTGTTCTACTGATTGTCTGCTTACTGTGTTGTCCAGTTCACTTAAATCTAGCCTCATTTCTGGATTCCGAACATGGAGATTATCTTGAATACTCTGAAGCTCTTTCTGAAGTAAGTTGTAGTCAACTGTACTTCTGTGTGATGATCTTTTGGTGAATATGGAAGATGTTGAAAGATTGGATCCTCTGAATGTTTTATTGAGATCAGCAGGGTTTACTGAAGACTCTGATGCAGGTTTCGATAGATTCATAGTTTTTTTTCTTAGAGAAACTGAAGCAAAATCTGCACTAATCTCTGGCTGAAGAAGAAAGAAACTTTTATTACTTTCTGACTTCTTATTTGTGCTCTCTGTGTTGGAGTCATAGTCAGAGATACTACATATTGCAGCACTGGGAGTATTAACATTCAAGTCAGTGCTGTGTAGCTGGGGGCTAAATGATGTCAGTGAAGATTTCATTGAACCAGAAAGCTTTGACCCTTTGCCATTTTGAGACTGAACTAGGGGCAACACACTGGTATCTGATTCTGTACCATAAGTATTCCATTCATGGTCAGACATACCAGCTGCTGACTCGGGGTAGCGTGCAACATAAGCCACTCCTCTAACAAGCCTGAATTCTGTCTCAGGATGTGAGTCGTCACTGTTACTTTGTTTGGTTTCCTGCGATGATCCAGAGACTGAAGCAGCATCTGCACTAATTTCTGGCTGAAGCAGAAAGAATGTTTTACTCTTTGACTTCTCATCAGTGTCTTTTGCACTGGAGTCATAGTCAGGGATGCTATGTACTGCAACACTGGGTGTATTTAGATTCAAATCAGTGCTGTGAAGTTTGGGGTTAAATGAGGTCAGTGAAGATTTCCTTGAACCAGACAGCTTTGGCCCTATGCCATTCTGAGAATGAACTCGTGGTGTTACATTGGTATCTGACTCTGTACCATAGGGGTTCCAGTCATTGTCAGACATCCCAGTTGCCGACTCAGGATAACGTGCAACATAAGCCAGTCCTCGGACAAGCTTGAATTCTGTGTCAGAATGTGATTCGTCACTGTTCCCATACTTGGTTTGTCTTGACGGTCCAACCTTTCCCGACAGAAACTCATTGGAAACTTCTTTGATGGCATTATTCACTGTATGCTCACAATCATTTCTCTCAATGTCCAGGTAATCTATTGGAACCTCTTCCAAACTGGCAGCTGAGAATATTGGAAACAAAATTTTACTGTGAACACAAATTATTCTTTAATCTAGCTAAATGAATTAAAGAAATGAGCAATCTAGGTATTACAAATTGTGAAATTTTTTAGCACCATCTGTTTTTAAACATGGGACATCTGAACTCTGCCTTCCCAATTTCAATGTGTGTTCAGTTAATTATTTAAATCATGCATGTATCACATTTTCTTAAAGTTAAAGTAGAGAGTATAGACTTCATTTCACTCTGTGATTTCTCATATGGCTCAGCCTCTCTCCGCAAAATGGCTAGTCGCCTGCTGAGAGCCCTGCAAAAAGCAGGAACTCCAGTGATGATCCACAGGGATCTCTATAAAAACTTCACTTGTGAAATGAGCCCACAGCCTTCATAGTGTGAAGCAAATGACTTGTCCACTTTGCCATGGAGACCCATGAAATCTTTTCTTATTCCAGTCACAGGCATGGGACCAATTTTAAACTGTTTAACTAATTTAACCCAAAACACACAGCATACATGCACTTGTTACCCCGCACATAACATTCTGTTCCTAACTCATTCACACATTGGTTACCCCCTAGATCACATACGTTTCTAACTCATTCACACATTGGTTACCCCCTAGATCACATACGTTTCTAACTCATTCACACATTGGTTACCCCCTAGATCACATACGTTTCTAACTCATTCACACATTGGTTACCCCCTAGATCACATAAGTTTCTAACTCATTCACACATTGTTACCCCCTTGATCATATAAGTTTCTAACTCATTCACACATCGGTTACCCCCTAGATCACAGAAGTTTCTAACACATTCACACATTGGTTACCCCCTAGATCATATAAGTTTCTAACTCATCCACACATTGGAGAGAATGGTACAGCTAAGAGTGACTAGAATATCTGGTCGACACTCCACACTCAGAGGAAAGGCAAGATGTTCATATAATCAAACTGCTACTGGCACCATTGGCTGCTGAATATGAGGATGCAGCGAGTACTATGATGTCAGTTCTTCACTCAACTACTCTAAACATTGGTTAGGTTAACCGTTATAAGACATACTGTGGTTAATGCACACATTTACTGGTAACTCCAAACATAATACACGATTTCTCTCATACTAATGTTGAGTTAAGAATCGACATCAAAGCACTCTGGACAGTCCCATAAGCACTCCGTCCCCATCTTCAGCTGCAAGCAAAGAGTTCCAATTCTGATGGTACCAGTAACTCTGATTCTACATCCATCTCCTCTTTCCCTTGAGTGTCAGCCAGATTCCCTGGTAGCTCTCCGTAGCTCCATTTTTCTCAGACGGTAATGATCTATTTGTGTAGCTTTACTGTTCACCCACTCCCAAAGGGCCCTCACTAAATCTAGCTTGTCATACATCAATTCCCCACCAAATGGTGCAGAACCGGCTTGTTTCCCAACACACCACCATGACCCTGAGACAATATCCAAAGGATGCCAACTACATGACACTCAAGCGATGCTTGCCACTTTTCATAGAGTGTACATGTCTCTACCTTTCTCATCATACTCTGTGAGTCAGGTACAATTATGATATGTGTGTACTTTTACTGGTTAAACCCTATATGTCATATTGTTCCCAAATCTCTCTCTCAGCTAGCTGTCACTTTATAATAACTAACGTCTAGGACAGAAGGAGTTGGCATGATAATTAGTAGGGACAGATATGACTTTAGCAACAATTTCTGAATCATGTGTTACATTACAAGTAAAAAGTTTGTGACTTAAAAAACACACACAAAACATCTGTGAGAGATCAAGAAAGTGGATGAAAATAATATACAATCTTTATTACCATCAGAGTCATCAGATCTCCAGGCCTCATCATACAGTTTGTCACAGCCAATATTCTCAACACCTGAAACAGGTTCCTGCTGAAACCAGACATAAGTAGTAAGTAAAAAAGTAAAGGTCCCCTTTACATGCCTTTAGGCGAATAGGGCATATAGGGCTAGACCTATATTTTTATAGACCGATCAGCACTTGGTGGGTGATGTGGTCAGCGGCATGCTGGTCACCTTCACTTCCTAAGACTGCACGCGGGACCCACTCAAGGCTGGGGAGTCAAGGACATTTTTTTTTAAATCCGGCTCCGCCAAGGAGCGAACCCACGACCTTCCAATCCACGCGCGAGCGCCTAGCCGCTACACCACGGCGGCTCCCAAAACCAGACTTAAAGAGAGAACAATAATTAAATTATGATCTTGAAAGCATGTGTATTCATTACTGTTCACACTTTATTCACTCTGAAGTCAATCAGTTAGCTAAAATAGTCCATAATTCTTCTCCAGTAAACATTCAATGAGCATTTCAAAGACCACCATCAGGGAATTAAAAAAACAGTGCCATGGGAAATGTAAAAAAAAAAAAAGTAACTAAGGAAATAGGAGAAAAAGGCAGAACAGAACCATTACTAAATTACATATAGACTAGCAAATAAAATGGTTTGCTTACTTAGAGAGTATACCTTGCGACACCACAACTTACAAGGCATACATCAGAAGAGAAGAAGACAGAGCAAGCACAGGATGAAAAGATAATATTAGAGGAACTCTACAACAGTATGGTGTCTACGGTCGAGGTAGCTAGAACAGCTAGAAGCAGAAACTTGCATCTCCCATAACACCCAAAGGGGTAAAAGAAGTGAAGAAGAACTAGAAGAAAACTAAGGAGGATTGCTATGTATATCTTTCCTTTGACAAATTTTGTTGTGCAATCGAATGAATCATTTTGATTATCCATTACTAATCAAGCAATGCCATTATACATCACATAGGGTTTGCAGTCTAGCCCTCTCTTCTGTTGTATCCTGTGCAATCCTCTAGATATCAGGGATGGAATCTAATCCAGCTGTCTTTGCCTCTATGAACAATGTTTGTCTCAGAGATTCTCTTGGATGTCCTTACTTTCCTAATCCTCTAGATATCAGGGATGGAATCTAATCCAGCTCTCTTGGCCTCTATGAACAATGTTTGTCTCAGAGATTCTCTTGGATGTCCTTACTTTTCCAATCCATTTTTACCATTTCAGTGCTTGTTTGGTGATCATCTATCTGTTTCTTTTTATGATGTACCAATATACTTCTATTTACTTTGCTGAAAAACTGACATTTCTCTAATCATAAACAAGTTTAGCAGAAGCCTTGATGCGTTAACTTAGGATTTATGCTTCATTAGGAGCTAAAAGACAAGAAAATGACTTATTTTATGCACACCTGCAAGTTAGCAGACAGTCCATCAGAATATTTGACTGATCTTTCCATTTTGCCAAGATCTGCTCCTCAAAGACAATATAAAGCTTCAACTGCCACTAGATCACTCTGATGATTCACCTGTTTGATAGTGACAACCTCTGCATTCGTGGGGTTTTTTCCCCCAACTGTCTGAAAAAAAAAATACACAAGTTCCATTATCTTCCATTCACTGTTGGTTTAATAATGATCAGCTATTAATGAACAGAAGAAATTAAATGTTTACGTATTATGCTAGAGGTAAGGAGTGATAGCAGGAGGAGAGTCAGCACAGAACCAATATTGAACTTTATAGGCAGACACTAGATCAAATGACTTGGCCATGTGATAACATTGGCAACAGACAGGGCAGCACAGACAGCAATGTTATACAGATAGAGCAGTAACAGACCCAGAGGCAGAAAATTCAGAATATACTATATATGAAGCAAACAAAATGCTTGCGCCACAGATCTCTTCCTGCCCTGGTGCTGCGAGGCATTATAGGAGTAGAGAACAGAAGAAAAGGAAGGCTAAAAAAAAGTGATCCCAAGCACATTGCAATGATTTCAAGTGCTCTGTCTCCTTCACCTGATATGAAAGTGTAGGATACAAACTAATCCTGCTCCATTTGTTGGACACACTTTTGATACAAAAGAATAGCAAGTTTCACTCAGAATTTAATGTTGTTTAGGTCTGTGCAGTAATGGCCCACTGCATACTATATTAATATTATTAAACATATGTCTTTCTTTTACTCTTTCATGCCAAAAATGCTATGGCCACTCTTGAATGTCTGGGACAATACATCTGTAAATGTTGTGGGTTTCCAGGGTTAACTAGTTACATTTGTAGCCAACTTGCTTTTTGCCCTATATATTTGGTTTATTTAAACAACTGTGTTGTTCGGTTCAAGAATGCAGTTTTTACAGATATCTTTAGAGTTTGGCAATGAAGCTACCGAGTTCATGGTTTGTGCATGAAGACTAATTACTATTCAATCTTGTTCACTGATACTGACATAGAAAGTCTAAATTTAATGTCTGGAGTGTGTATACATGCCTTTTTTTTTTTTTTTGGCCTGTGGAAGCATTTTTAAAAAAAAAATGTATGTGTCAACTTAACTGCACTTTTTTTTTTTTTTCAAAACTGCTCAGTCTCTTTCCTCAGAACGGCTAGCCACCAGTTAAATGTTGCACAAACCAATGCACTTTAGTCTATTCTACACAGTACTATAGATTAGAAGTCTTTTTTTTTTGTAGTTATTGTTTTGAATAAAAATATAATATCATTCAACATTACCATGAGCGTGTTACAATCTGTAAACATCATCACCGAACAGCATTATACAATATAAACGTGCCGTAACTAGTACTACGATATTTTCAAACAACTAGTTGAACTGGTACACTGACACTGTCAAGTCTAAGCATGTTTTGGCACCTGAATTATGTTTTGTCCCGTGCAAATCCCAAATCTGGTACTGGTACTTAAAATGAAATATAAGAGATTAACAAGCTGTCACAGTCTAACGATAAAAAAGAAACATATATCGCTAATTAATTATAGTAAGATGATTACACAAGTATATCACATACATGAAAATACTACGCAACCTAGTTATATTTTACGTAAATAAAAGCTATCAATCATCACATACTAGTGGCGGTTCCAATCGTCCGCCATGTTGTAAACAAAACTGCGGCGCTAAGACGAAGTCGTCGGCTGTTTCCGTTAAAAAAAGTTACATATTTTTTCTAAATAACAAATTGCGTGAAAGTTACACTTCTATATGCAGTTTTCCAGTGATTTACACTAAATCGTAACATAATAACTAAAAAAAACAAACATAACCTAACTAAAGTTTTACCGGCTCCCATAGTAGGTCGCCAGTGGTCGCTCTCAAACAGATGTACAACACTCTGGAACAAGCTTAAAGCGTAGAAGTGGACAACAACTAGAGTAGAGCTGTCTGCCAGTATTTACAACTGGTTGAAGCGAAGAAGAAAAAGAAGCAGAAAAAGATACACTAATTACAGCTCGAATGAATCACTCCACAGAAAGTGTGAAAATGGTAGTACTGTATTACAAAATGGAGTAATGGAATTTGCATAAATGAATGAACGAATTGATTATACAACAAACAATGAGGTATACATGGAAAACACAAATGACGCTCTTTTTCATGCCTCCCCGATGTAGGTGGTCCCGGGGCGCACTGGGGAGGGGGAGGGGGAGGGGGGAGGCAAATCCAATGTCTCTAAAAAAGCATGTCGTGAAAGTCGACTACCTGCATTACACCCAGTTTCGTCCTTTTTAGATCGAAATTTTTTGTCATTTGAAGCCCTACTCTGGCTTTTGCCAGGGGCCGCAATATAGGCCAGGCCATAAATATGGCCAAATGTCTGAACGCGGTTTCTGGGACCTCTCCACGGCGATCCTCATCCACTTGGTGGCACTTTGTGTCATCGGGTGTTTATCGCTTGTGTGATGTCCTGGTGGGGTAGAAAGTCAGTCAGTCAGTCAGTCGACTACTGAAGTAGGAGCACAGATACCTGAGTGCCTATGAACAGTCTGCAAACAAGTAAACCAGATCTGTAAAACGGATGTGTGACATGTGTGGGCATAATTCAAGTTCCGGAACAGGATTAAAGTCCAGAAGTGGGTAAACAGCCAACATTTTCTGCTGGAGTTTACAATCAGAGAACGCTAAAAAAAAATAGGATTATCATGCCCTATCGACTTGGTTAAGCGATCATGCGTCTCTCTTTAACCCTTTAAACCTTCCTACAGTCTGCAGTCTCCAACAGAATGTTGATTGTGTCAGTTCATGGGCTGACACCCCTCACACCATAACACAACCCTGTCAAAACTCTTCTTTCGTTGTGTTCCTCTGTCTCTCTATCCGTAAATCTTTTCTAGTTATCATAACATGTGCCAGTTTTCTTTCGTAGCGTAGCCAACAAATGATGACATCCTCTTTCTGATTGTGTGATAAGCTGTATTTGAGTCCCAGCACCCCTCACCCCCTCCCCATCGCTCTTGTGTCTGTCAAATAGTTGAGTTATCATCATTGCACTCCAGACATGTGCATTTTAAGTATTCTTACGTAAAACTTCATCTCTGATTTGGAGCCCTGTTAACATGTCCTGTACTTAATGAAATCTATCAAGGATATGTCAGGATTGTGTTTGGTGGTCATAACATAAACTTTATACCCATGACACAGTCTACATAGCGACAAGTCAGAACGAAATGCACGGATTGATAGCTACGGTGGTGGTACAATTCATGTTAATTTTTATGTTTATGTTTATTCGATGGATCAACATCAAGGCAGAAGGGTGTAACCCATAGGTTCTCCACTCAACTTCTAACTCAAACCTGAGTCTGAAGAATCTCAGCGTGATGCACTAACTCCGTTGCACCGGCAAGGATCATGAAGTACTTGGAGTAGATTTTTAACTTCAAATTTGGCTGGGGCAGCCCCGTTGGGCTACTTTTTTCGATTTCCAACAGCCAAGGGATTTTTTTTACGCGGGTAAGAATACACACGGGCGTCTAGGGAAATTACTAGATGTCGACATGAAAAAAAAAATCCTAGCCTTCACCGGTGCTTGAACCCGGCACCTCCAGAACTCAAGG